CATCAACAGCCTCTCCCTCGTCTACCAGTCTGCTCACCCAGTCATAGAAGGAGATGAGCTTGGTCAAGCACGACCTGCCTTTCATGAACCCATGCTGGCTGGGCCTGATCCCCTGGACGCCACGCACATGCCATGTGATCTCACCCATGATGATTTGCTCCATAACTTTCCCTGGTACTGAGGTCAGGCTGATTCCCCAGTAGTTCCCCAGATTCTCCTTACGGCCCTTCTTACAGATGGGAGTCACATCGGCAAGCCTCCAATCCTCTGGGACCTCTCCAGATAACCAGGAGCGCTGATAGATGGCCAAGAGCATCTTGGCAATCATCCCCACCAGCTCCCTCAGCACCCAAGGATGGAGCCTGTCCAGTGCCATGGACGTGTGACAGTCCAGATGGAGGAGGAGTTCTCTAACCATCTCCACCTGAATCACTGGGGGTGTGTTCTGCGTAGCATCCCAGATTTCCAGATCAGGGTGTAAAATGCCCTGAGGATAACTGATCTGCCTATTAAAGGCAGATGTAAAGAAGGCGTTGAGGATTTCAGCCTTCTTCTTATCCTCAGTGGTCACATTCCCAGCTGCATCAAGTAAAGGACGGAAATTTTCCTTGGTTCTTCTCTTACCATTGACATACTTGTAAAAGGATTTCTTACCTCTTCTACTGCAGTCATGCTTTGGAAAGATTTGGAAGGGGAAGGCTGCAGCATTCTGCACAATACGCGCTTACCTACATTTATAACAATCCCATGGCTCTTCCTCGCGATCTGCCTCGTAGAGAACGCTGGGTTTGAGGTCTGGTGGAGGACAAGAGAGTGCTGCTATATTCCTATTCCTATTGCTGATGGCTTGTAATACTGAAAACTAAAGGACTTCGCTGTGATGCCCCAAGCTGTGCCTTGCTGTCACTCTAAGAACTCAGGCACACACCACACCAGTGTACGGAATGAGGCTGGAGCTGCTGCCAGGATGAACACATAGTCATAGAATCACAGAATGGCTTGAGTTGGAAGGGACCTTACAGTCCATCCAGTTCCAACCCCTGCCATGGGCAGGGACACCCCTCATGGCCTCAGGCACTGCAGGGATGGGGCACCACAGTTCTGGGCAGCAGTGCCAGAACCACGCCACCCTCTGAGTAAATAATTTTTCCCTCATATCTTACTCAAGTCTTCCCTCTTTTAGTTTAAATGTGTTCCCCCTTGTCCTGTCTCTGCCCATGTAAAAAGTCACTCTCCTTTCTGTTTATAAGCTCCCTTTAAGTACTGAAAGGCTGCAATGAGGTCTCCTTGAGTCTTCTCTTCTCCAGGCTGAACACTCCTGAATCCCTCAGCCTTTCTCCACAGGAGTGATGCTGCAGCCTCTGAGCATCTTCACGGCCCTCTGGACCTGCTCCCATAGCTTCATATCTCTCTACACTGAGGGCCCCAGCTCTGCACACAGTACTGCAGACGGGGTCCCATGAGGGCAGAGCAGGGGGGGACAATCCCCTCCCTGCCCACTGCCACCCCTCTGTGATGCAGCCCAGGACAATGCTGGCATTCTGGGTTGCGAGTGCACACTGCTGGATCATGTGCAGCTTTGTACCATCAGAACTGTTTGCAATATCCAAATAATTTACCAGGATGGTATCTCTGATAAAGATTTTATTTGCGATTGCAATGGCAGGCCTCCTGTAAGCAGGAGAGCGTCCAGAAAACAGTGTTAGATCCTTTATGCCCTATTACTCGATGCTTATCTCTTCCTCCCCTAGTTCCTCATGGCTGAGTACTTCAGGTTCACAGTCTTCTTGACGCTTCACTAAACATACAGATACTGGATAAACATAAATCTTTGCTGGCTAAACATAAATCTCTAATTATTTAATTAACTTCTAACACTTACTCCACACTTGGTCATTGTTTCTAGACATCTGTTGTCCGTCCTTGCACAGAGATAAGCATGGAAGGAGGGCAGAGGGGAGTATCTGGATGCCTGCCTGTTGCATCCCAACCTTCCCACAGAGTGAGACAGTCCAGCCTTGTGTAGAGGCCCTGGCTTCTTTGATGTTTGTTAAATCTGTTTTTCTTTTGCTGGGAGTCTCCTATCCTAACAGAACAACCCTACAATAGGTTTTCTAGTCCCTAATACTACACCCCATTGTTTGGAACATTTAAAAACTATTGCAGTTTTGCAAGAAAGAATTAATCACAAAATTCAGCAACGATGTTTCTAAGATATGCTAGTAACATATACGGTACTCCTACTTTTTACACCAACTATTTCTAAGGATAAGTTACAGAAGACAAACACATTGTGTTCTACTTCTTCAGATCAATTGCCCCTTTTAATATCTAGTGCAGAACCAACATTCCATTCCCACAGGTCCCCCAAGTCCTTCTCCGCAGGGCTGCTCTCGGTGCGTTCTGCTCGTATCTGGGACTGCCCTGACTCAAGGGCAGCACTTTGCTCTGGGCCTCGTTGAACAGCACGAGGTTCAGACGGGCCGCCTCTCAAGCTGCCCGGTTGAGGCTTGGGAAGAACTACTGGCAGGACAACGAGGAGTGCCAGCAAGGTTGCCTGGATAGAGAACAAACAGAGAGAACAACTTTGTGCGACGGAGGAGCGCACAGCTGAGGACCCACACGTGGAAGAACGGATTTCTAGGAAATCTGTCTTTGCTCAAGCCAATAAAGTGCTCAGATGCGTGTGCGCAGATGGGAGCGTGGCAGGGAACGGCAGAACACGGCTGGGAACGCGGCAGCGCTGGGCTGGTGACGTGAGCTACAAAATGCCGTCCAGAGGGCGGCGATCTCATCGCACGGGAACCGAACCACGCGTAGAAATAAACCACGCTGCTGCGGAAACGGCCTCCAAAATGGCGGCTGCGCCATTCACACACTCGGGCACCGTCACGGGGCGGATGTTATTGCTCGCGCGCCACTCTAACACAAAGCTGGCTGATGTCACAGCGTTTACAAACTCGCGGGCGCAGCCGGGCGGGGGAGGCCGTGGGCCGCGGAGCTTCCCGCGCCGTGCAGCCGGAAGTGGCCGCAGCCGGATGTGGCCCGGGCCCCGCCGCAGCCCGCGTTGCCACGGCAACCGCAGCGGAAGGAGATCTGTGCCCGTGTAAACATCCTCAGACGCGCTTCCGGCGCAGCACCGCCTCACGCACGCCGCGGCCCGTGACCCGGAAGTGATGTTCAGACTCACAACTCCGTGCGGCAGCGCGCGCGTCTAGTCCGCGCAGCCACGTGACTCGGCGCCGGCTGCGCGATTGGCTGTTGCTCTCGGCGGCGCCATTTTGTGGCGGTAGCAGGTTGGGTTGATCTGGCGCCATTTCTGGACGGAAGCCTGCGGGATCGGCACAGTGCCCCACGTGACCCGAGGTGCTGGGCCTGGCCCTCAGAGGCCTCAGGATCGCGTCTTGGAGCTGCAAAGTTCGGCCATTTTCCCACTTGACAGCGTGTGCGCAGCACTGCTGGTGTCCCACTGCCGTGGCTCCTCGGTGCTGCCACAGGGACTGCGCCTCCGGCTGGAACAGCTCTCCTGTGAGGCAGGCTGAGGGAGCGTGGGCTGTGCAGCCTGGAGAAGAGAAGGCTGTGAGGTGACCTGAGGGCGGCCTTCAGTATCTAAAGGGGAGCAACAGGAGAGGAGGGGACACACTCTTCAGCAGGTTCTGTGGTGACAGAACAAAGGAAAATGGCTTTGAGCTCAAAGGGCAGATTTAGTTTGGATATCAGGTGTTTGAAAAGCTCCACGGTGGAAGTAAGGCACAGATTGCACTCACTGGTCACACTCAAGAAAATGGGGAAAATTGATTTATTGATGATGAAAATACAGTTGAATAGTGAGAAACAGAGACCAACTAAAATGCACCGCCCTCTCAGCTGCTGGGATCTGCCATGCCCTGTGGCAGGGCCGCCAGATGCAACTGCATTGGCACGAGGCAGCCCCAGTATCTCTTCTCAGCCTTTCCAGTATCAGAACCTCACCTCCCATTGCAATGTTTTTTTTCCAATAGCTTTCACATAGGAATGCAGCAATGCTTTGCAAGATATGTCCTCACCTGCTTTCACAACAGTGGGATATGCAGTCTCTTAAAAAAAATGAGATTATAATTCCTTCTTAAAAATTCCCCTATGGTCAAAAAGCTTAAATTACGAGAGGGAGTACCCAGGACACCACACACGCTCCCTGTACCAAGGCAGAGCTGTGCACAGCACCTTGAGATCCCTTTCTGCCAGGTCCAGCCCAGGCAAGCGAGCACAGCTCGCATGCTGACAGACACGTGAACATGTGCTCACACAAACAGATGGCAATGGTTTAACAAGGAGGAAGTCCACAGTGATCGCACACAGCTCAGACAGAAAGTCTGAGCAGCCTACTAACACACAGCTGCCCTTATTCTTCCACCTCTTCTAAGTTTTCCCAGGCTTCTTCCTCTTTTACTTGCACCAGTCCTGCTTGTTCTCTTCCTCTGTTTTTTCCCTGAAGCCTCCCAGGTGATCACACTTTTCCCAGCAGGCATTACAAACCAAGGTTTGCATCCATTTATGTTGTACTATTCATTTATACACTGATCCCTTAGTACACCTTTCAGTTTCTCCTGCTAAGCCACATTAGTGGGTTTTGCTGCAGGGTTCTGTCTGTTCAGCACGACAAAGCAGGCATAGATGCTCATGTTCTGGTGGTCAGCTGTCAGACTGGGTAATCACAGGCCGCATTTCCTTACACCGAGTATAGCCACCAAGCTCAAATGCCTGGCATGCAGACTCCAGCATGTGATCAACAGTCCACACAACCATTTCATAAGCATCGTGCAGCAATACATAACTTCTATTAACAACTTTGCATCCTTCTGTGTTTTGCTGAATGTCAGGCTTATGGATCAACTCTGCCTCTTGCATCCCTTGGTGCACAAGCGCCTCAGGTTGTGATGCTACACCCTGCAGCTTCCCAGATTCACTGGGGGGTGGGGATGCAGCTGCTGATTCAAGAGATGCTGCAGGGGCACTGGCTGCTTCTGATGTCTCCTCCTGAGAGTCTTCCTTCTCAGGCTGTGGAAGCACAATCACCTCTTGGGAGTCTTCTTTCTTCTGTTGGGGCAAAGCCACCTGCTCTGCAGGAGGACAAAATGCCCCACAAGTTTCCTTCGTGGAGTCATCTGCCCTAGCCAGAGGAACAGATGATGACAAAGGAGATACAGAAAGACATTTTGTGCAGAATAAAGCTCGAGAAAACCGCAAATTTTTGAAGGTGGGCTTGAGAAATCGCACACTTCGCTTAGCTTTCCAGATGATACGCTCTACATAGGATTTTCGCTTTGACAGCCTGTAAGCTATGGCACGAAACCTACAAGTACGGCAAACAACTTTATGGACTCTGTTCCGATAAGAAAACCTTTGTACCTGGCAGTATTCATGGTCTCTGAGCACTGAGACACCAGTATTACTGTTACCGCAGTAGTCATGTTCTCTCAGAGCATGTGGAAATTGAGTGCAGTGCAGTGTATTACTCACACAGTAACAGTGGTCTTCCAGAACAGTTTCATTCAGATCCTTAGTAGAAGATTCCCTGTATTCCCTGTTTGCCTGAAAAACACTTACTTCCTCTAAAACATTATGTGTTTTTTGTACAGTCTCTTGAAATGTCTCCATGCAGTTATTGTGCAGACGTTTGCAAGAAACCACATTTTCCATGCTTTGTGCTAACTCTGTCTTGACCCCTTGTTCATCCTCTGTTTCTAAATTCCTGGTCAAACAGCCCATCTGTGCCTTCTCTTTTCTTCCCTCTGGTGCTGGCTGGCTGCTGGCTGCCTCTGACCGCAATTCATTCCTACCCTCAAGACACCCAAACTTCTTTAGCAGTCTGCTGGACCGCAGCAGCCACGGCTCACGTTTTCCTGTTTAGAGAGAGGAGGACAGTTTGCCTTCTTTCATGAGGCACTTAGCTGTAGAGCCTGGGGCAGGACCAGCACTCACCATGGCTGGGGGTGTGTGTCTCCTCCAGCACCTTGTGCTTGTCAACATCCAGCCACCTGCTGGAGCATGACTCTGCCAGCCATCTCTTGTCCCCATTGCATCCTGCACGGCAACTAGAAAGATGTTACCTTCCCAGTGAAGGAAGCCCTCCTGCTCTACAGCAATCTAGCTGGAGGGAAAGGCCCTACAAAATCACAGCCTGGCTGAGGCTAGAGGCACTTCCGAGTCCCTCTGTTTCCCCCCCAGCCTCAACAGGGCCACCCAGAGCAGGGTACCCAGCCCCACATCACAGTGGGGTTGGAGATCACCAAGCAGACTCCACAGCTTCTCTGGGTAGGTGCCATCTAATGCTAGCAGCTCATGGGCACTGGGAGGAAGCGCTCTTCTTGGGTGCAGCAGATCTACAACAACCCTGCTGAGCCACAGCCCTCCTACAGGGGATGACAGCCTTCATTAGCCATCATTAGCAAATGCAAAAAGGGCTGCATGGCCAGAGGGAAATACGGGAGATACTCTCAATACAGGTAGCATGGAAAGAAGGGATCAGGACGGGAGAGCAAGTGGAAAGTGCAGAGATGTGCTAGCCACATAGAAGGAGGACCCTGGTGAGGACCCTGGGGTGTGCTCCTTGTCCAGATAAGCAGTACCGAGGGAGTGAACCGCAACTTCTCACCAAAAGGTCTGTCAGGTCCATCCCACTTCACTGGGCTCTGTGGTGTGTTGACCCATGGCTCTTCCCCACGCTCCAGTCGATGCAGAATGTCAGGTTTGGGGCCTGGGTACCCTATGAAGCAGGGATAAATGTTCTACTATGAAATGCAAGTTGTAGAAATAACAGGAAATGAAACATTTTCTCTGATAATTCAAGCTGTGGTTCGCTGTCAGAAAAGTCTGAGTTGAAATCACGGTGGAAAAAAAAAAAAGGAAAAAAAAAGATAAAAAAAAGATGGCTAGCACAGCTGTCAAGTGAATTCACCCCATAGCCAACGGCAGTGCCTGGCAGCACTCCTAGCCATGGAGATCAGCTGCTTGTCCCAGGAGCAGCTCTGGGGCGTAGGATGTACTCCAGGGCCTGTCTCAGGCCCTTGTGCAGGCAACAGCAACCGCCATCACAAGCTGATGATCTCTGGGTCTACTCGCTGGCCAAGTGACTCCTGCCAGCTGTCCTCACAGTGATTCTGTCACCTACAAGCTATTCCTACTCTGCTGCTTACTACAATTCCTTGACTCACGCATAGCGTCCCTGCGCCAGCAACCAGGGAAGAAGACTGAGGTGGTGGCCCAAGGCAGGTCCTTGCCTGACATTATGGTGTGTGCAGATCACTGCAGTTACATTTTCAAAAGCAGCCAATGCTGGCAGAAAGATGCCCAAATCTTGTGCTTTTTCAGCACGAAGCTCCCAGGACTGCAGGTACTCAGGGTGGTTCCCTCACTCTGTAGCTGATTAATCCCTAAAACAATGGGAGCAGCAAGATCCTGATGGATCCAAGTATGATGGAATTCCCTACCCCTGCTGCAGCTCTCCAGGAGCTGAAGCTGCACATTACCCAATGATGCCAAGAGCTCATAGTTGTCCAGCATGACGCTGCGGTACAGCTCCCTCTGCTCCTCTGCAACCATGTCCCACTCTGCGCGGCTCAGGTAGATGGCGATGTCCTCAAAGGTCACAGGCTCCTGCAAAGCAAGCATTGTACCATTGGAAGTGTGCCCACAGCATTTAAAACATGCTGTGCTTTCCAAACATTATTTTCACCCCTGAGAAAGCTATCACTAGGCGAGGTTCAAAGGTTGCCTGCGTGCCATGGGATGACTGTAGATCTCCCTATGATGCCTCTGCCAGGTGCTCTGCCCAGGGCTCCCCTGTGTTTCCAAGGCAGTCAGTGGTGTCCCGAAAGCCAGAACCGCTCGCCTGACCACCTGCAGTGTCTGCACCGAGGTCTGCAGGTGGGTGGGAGCGAGCCCCGGGAACCCAGAGCTCCACACCACAGGAAGAAAGGCAAGATGTGGAGGATGCAGTGTTGCAGAGAGGACATGCAAGAGGCGCAGCGAGGCACAGAGGCCAGAGGAGCCAGGAGGCACGGGGCGTCAAGAGGCACAGCAGGCCTGGCAGGGCCTGCCTCCGCCGGGTCCCAATCCTACCTCCATGTGCGAGGCCGTGACAACTGCGAAGGCCTCGCAAGCCTCTACTCTCCACTTCCGGCGGACAGTCACCGGAAGTAGGCCCGCGCCGGAAGCAGGCCCCGCGCCGGAAGCAGGACCGCGCCGGAAGCAGGCCACACGACGTTAGGTTGCACCCTACGAATCCTTATACGCACTTCCGGCCATAGTCCCGCCTCCAGCGGAAGCATTCAGCCGACCGGAAGTGGGGGAAGCACACACGGAGTCGGTGTGGGCGCCGCCATTTTGAGTGGTGCCGCAGCTCACGTGATCGCTGGTTGCACTGCCATTGGTGCCGGCCTGGGACGCGGCACGGCTTCAGCTCCTGGAGCCCGGCCCCTCCGTTTCACCTCATTAATTATCCCTGATTTATGCTGTAATTTGGACTAGGTCATTTTCCACCTCCCAGCTCCCAGCGCTTTAGCTTTAGGGGAGCAGGTGCTGGGGCTTTGCCTGTGGATCTCAAAGGAGTGGGTGCCTGTGGGGGAAGGAGCAGAGCAACGTGTTTCCTTGGTTGGTGCTGGTGAGACACACACAATTGGAGCATCATGGAACAGTTTGGATTGAAAGGGACCCCCAGCCCCACCCTGCCATGGGCTGGCTGCCTCACAGCTCGGGCTGCCCGGCCCCCAGCCATGGCTTTGGGCACCTCCAGGGCTGGGCACCACAGCTCTGGGCAGTGCCAGCACCTCATCACCTCTTGGTAAAGAATCCCTGCCTAACATCGCACCTAAATCTCCCCTCTTTTAGTTTAAAGCCGTTCCCCCTTGCCCTCTAGTGATCTGCCCATATAAGAAGTCTCTTTTCCTCCCATTTATAAGCTCCATTATGTACAGAGAGGACACAATGAGGTCTCCCCACAGTCTTCTCCAGGCTGAACTCCCCTTGCTCCCTCAGCTTGCCTTTCTAGGAGAGGTTCTCCAATCTCTTCATGGCCTCCTCCGGACCCACTCCACATCTTTCTTGTTTTGGGGGTCCCAGATCTGAATACGGATCTGCAGGTTGGGTCCCACAAGGGCAGAGTAGAGGGCAACAATCCACTGTCATTATCTGTTTGTCCTCATGTAGGTTTTGTGTCTTCACACAATTATACTTTTCTTCACAAGTCCATGATTTCTGATGACACCAAGCTGCCTGGTGTGATTGATGGAAGGAAGGGATGCCATTCCGAGGGACCTGGGCAGGGCTGAGAGGTGGTGTGTTGTGAACTGCCTGTGGTTCAACCAGGCCTGGTGCATAGTGCTGCACCTTGGTCAAGACAGTTCCATGCACAGAGACAGGCTGGGCAGAGGGTGGATTGAGAAGGACTTGGGGCTCTTGGATTAAATACTGAACACAAGCTGGCACTATGCTCAGAGTTTGGAGCACCTCTGCTATGGAGACAGGCTGAGGTGTTCAGCCTGGAGAAGAGAAGAGTCTGGGTAGACCTCATTGTGGCCTTCCAGTTCATTATGGGGCTGCAATACAGGGAGGGAGAGACTCTTTGTCAGGGAGTTAAGTGATAAGACAAGGGGGAACAGCTCTAAGCTATCAGACTGTATGTTTAGATCAGGCATCAGAATAAATTCTTCATTATGAGGGTGGTGAGGCACTGGCACTGCTGCCCAGAGCTGCAGTGGTCCATCCCCATGGTGCCCAGGGCCATGGATAGGGTTCTGGCCATGGGTGGGGCTGGATGGGCTTTAAGCTCCCATCCATCCCAAACCATTCCATGATTCTAAAAGTTATCAAAGATCCTGTTTCAGTAGCAGAGCCCTGTTTTCTGCTTTATTTATTTTTTCCCATAACCAACCACCAGATGTCCTTTGTTAGTTCAGTCCCTCAGTTTTACACACAAACTCTCAACCTGCTCATGGCTGTTTCTCAAAGGCAGCAATGGTGAAATTCACACTCCTGAGAGATATTGTACAGACACGGAGAAAAAACAGGAAGCTTAATTTTAGGAAAGCCAAATTCCAGTTCTGCAGGGAATTTGTCAACAGCCCCTGCTGGGAATCTGTCCTCAAGGTCAAGGGAACAGAGCAGAGCTGGCAGATCTTTAAGAAAGCTTTCCTCAGGATGCAGGAGCTCTTCATCCTGAAGTGTAGGAAGTCAGGAAAGGAAGGCAAGAGACCTGCACGGCTGAGCCAGGAGCTGCTTGTCAAACTTGAGAGCAAGAAGAACATGCACAGGAAGTGGAAGCCTGGGAGGAGTATAGGGATGCTGTTGGGCTGTGTAGGGCTGGGGTCAGGGAGGCCAAGGCCCAACTGGACTTGGCAAGGGGCACAAAGGAGAACAAGAACAGCTTCTACAGTGCATCAATCAGAAAAGGAATGTGCAAAAGGGTATTCTACCCCCAGTGAGCAATGCAGGCAGGCTGAGCTGGTAACAACAGACAAAGTGAAGGCTGAGGTACTGAACAACTTTTTTGCCTCAGTCTCCACTGGTGACTGCTCTTCACACACCGATCTAGCTGATGGGACTGAGGAAGCATTGATCCTCCTGCTGTAAGCAAAAAACAGGTCCGTGTCCACCTGAGGAACCTGAACATCTACAGGTCTATGTCCCTATGAAATACATTCCAGAGTCCCAAGGGAGCTGGCAGATGTAGTCACCAAGCCATGCTCAGTGGTATTTGAAAGATTATGGTGGCCAGTTGAAGTCCCTGGTGACTGGAAAAAAGGGCACATCATGCCCCTTTTTAAGAAGGATAGAAAGGATGATGCAGGGAACTACCGACCTGTAGTCTCACCTCTGTTCTGGGGTAGATCGTGGAGTAGCTCCTCCTGGAAGCTGTGCTATGGTACATGGAAGGAGTGGCATGGCACAGCCAGCACGGCTTCCCCAAGGGCAGGGCCTGTCTGGCCAAACATGGCCTTCTGTGATGGTGTCACTGTGGCAGTGGATGAGGGAAGAGCTGCAGGTATCACCTCTCTGGATTTCAGTGAGGCCTTCGACACGGTCTCCCACAATGTCCTTCTCCCCATATGGGAAAGATGTGGATTTGATGGTGGGACCGTTCAGTGGATGAGGCGCTGCTGTGAGATGTACCACCACTCTGGTGGTCAGCAGCTCCGTGTCCGGATGAAGAGCAGTGACACTGGTGTCCTTCAGGGCTCAGTGCTGGGATCTGTGCTCTATCCCATCTCCAACAGTGACATCAGCAGTGCACTGAGTGCACCCTCAGCAGTGTGGGTGACACCAAGCTGTGCACTGCTGTCCACATGCCGGGACGGGATGCCATCAAAGGGACCTACAGAGGCTGAGCAGTGATCCACCTCCCTACACCTCCTGATAAGGACAGGCTGATAGCTGGGGCTGTGCAGCTGGAGAAGGGAAGGCTGCAGGGAGGGCTGAGAGCAGCCTTCAGTATCTGAAGGGGCTGTAAGAAGGAAGGAGATGGACTCTGTAGCAGGATCAGTGTGGTAGGACAAGGGGAAATGGCTTCCAACTAAAAGAAGGGATATTTAGATGGATATAAGGAAGAAGTTCATACACTAAGGGTGGTGAGGTGCTGCACAGGTTGCAGTGAGCGGTGGTGGTGCCCCATCCCTGCAGACACCCACAGGTAGGAGATGGGCTGTGAGCACTGGTGGAGCTGTGAGTGTCCCTGTGCATCACAGGGAGTGGGACTAGATGACCTTTAAGGGCCCCTTCCAACTCAAACAATTCTATGATTCTGTGAATCTATGAAATCGGTTCTTCAGCGTCTCTCAGCATGGAATCTCCAATTATCAACACTCTTCACACGTTTTTCGTGTCAGCAGTTCCAATCCAGGTAGTTCTCCAGCATGGTTATTACTGGAGTTGCAGGTAATCCATGGATTTCAATTTGGAGCTATTCTGTTTTGATTTGTGGACACTCAGCTGGGCTGCAGTAAAAGCCAGGAGAACTGCCAGCCCTGCTGTTGTGTGGAGGAAACAGCTGATGTGAGGGCTGTGGGCATGGAGCAGTGAATTGTAGAATCATAGAATTAACAAAGTTGGAAAAGACCTCCAAGATCATTCAGTCCAACCGTCCACCTACCACCATTTCCCCACTAAACCATATTCCTCTGTTCAGCATCTCAATGTTTCTTGAATACCTCCAGGGACAGCAACTCCACCACATCCCTGGGCAGCTTGTTTCTGTGCCTGACTGTTCTTTTGGAGAAGAAATTGTGTTTCCCCTGAGCTTCCTCTTTCCCAGACTGAACAATCCCAGCTCCCTCAGCCACTCTCCATAGCACTGTGCTCCAGACCCCCACAGCTCTGCTGCCCATCTCTGAGCACACTCCAGGGCCTCAATGCCTTTCTTGTAGTGAGGGGCCCAAAACTGAACTCAGTACTCAAGGTGTGGCCTCACCAGGGATGAGTACAGAGGGATAATCATTTATCTGCTCTGCTGTTGGCACTGCTGCTCACACAGCCAGGATGCTGTTGGCCTTCTTGGCCCTTGGGCACTCTGCTGGCTCATGGTCAACCCAGCATCACCCAACACCCCCAGGTCTGTTTCATTCACACAGCCTTCTGGCTGCTCTTGCCCCACGCCTGCTGTGCTGCCCGGGGTGCTGTGGCCGAAGTGCAGGTCCTGGCACTTCTTCTTGTTGATCTTCATCCCATTGGCCACAGCTCAACTATCCAGCTTGTCCGGTGGGATGAAGACCCCAACTCAAACTAAACCCCGTCTCCTCATACAAAGGAGATATTTACCCTGCTTGATGCTTTCTGTAACGGTTGGGTGTTTTCTGCTGATTGCTAGCTGTGGTTTTGAACAGGAAGAGGCTCCTCACACAGATAACAGATGCCTGTTTAGCAGCACCCATCTGCGAGTCACAGCACTCCCTTTCTCCTGATGCTGCGTATAAGTGTGCTGCTGAGCTGAACAGCAGTTCCAGCCCTGGCACTGCTGCGCAGGAGGGGAGCAGGGGAGGTTTGTGCCACTCTCACTGAAAATCTCTCTCCTTCCAGGCTTCACCTATGAGTGCTCTCCCAATGGCAGGACGTCAAAGCAAAGGTGAGCCACTCAGTGCCGCGCAGGCAGCCGCAGCCCAGCTGGGCTCCTGGCTGAGTGCTGGGGAAGCACGGGGGGTTCGCATCCTCATGCAGCCTCGTGCACGCAGCACAT